TATATATATATGGAGAGAGAGAGACAGAGAGAGAGAGGGAGAGAGAGAGTTCTGCTTTTAATTCTAATTATATTTATTTTTGTTTTTATTTCTAATTCTGACTGTTTCGGTCCATAGTAAAGCACTTTGAAATGTTTTGTGCTGTACAAATAAATTTGTCTTGTCCAAACATGCCGCTCACTGTGTGTTACGTGTGTTACGTGTTCTACGCCCTGGCGGATGTAGCACACAAAACATGGTCCAACTTCTGCAAAATTCAAGCAGCCTCAGAACTATGTGGTAGTTTTAAAGGAAAAAAAAGATTTATTTACTACAGTGATTATGTTATTTGCAAAACTGTTGTCTTACCACCCTCAGGACCAAAATAACAAACAAAATGTCTGTATCTTAATTTTCCCTCCTACATACGTATGTACAAAAACAACACATTTTCTTACCTTCACTAAACAGGAAAAAAGAGTCTTATAATAAATGGCAGCCCACTCCTACAAACTCCTCACAAAACTATTTAAACTCTTAACGTTGACACAGCAGGTTAGGTGTGGCTGGTTGGGAAGCACAGAATGAATTAAATCCAACATCATCACTTCTGCAGCTCATTCTTATGCAGCCTCAGGCAGCCAACACCCACTTAGCTCCTCAGTCTCTGTCGTCCAATCACAGCTGGCTCCCTGGACACTAATTTACCTATCAGATTATCCTTAAATGCACACACAGCTATACAGCCTCAGCCATATGGAGAGGCTAAGCTTGAAAGGTTATAAAAAGTGACACCATTTCTGAAGCAGCAGTGTAGATCATATCTACGTGAGCCTAAGCTAAGTGGCAAAACTAATTTATTTCTAAATTTGATGTATTGCCTTTTTTTGTTTATCACAAACTATACTTTTTAATAAAGATTTCTAAAAAGGTTACTTTTTAAATCATTTTTGTTTTTTTACTGTGACATTTACTACACATGCAATCCCCATTTTGTAAAACATTAAATGAATTACTTTTTTTTAGTTTTCATTAAAAGCAGAACAATTGAGCTATATTTATTTATTCATACATGAAAGTGTCATGTCTGTTGAAATAATAAGGTTATTGTGACCTTTATTTTTATTTATATAAGTGGCCTTTATTCCTTTTCCAAAACAAATGTACTACACTTTTCTTAAACTAGAAAGACCATTTCATTCTAAATACCTTAAAAAGTGCATCTGATACTTGTTACATTCTTTCAAAATAAAAGCATAAAGTCAAAATGCAGAAACAATCAATAAAATAACAAAAATACTTCAATGGATTTCCAAAAATGTACATAGTTTAATTGATGAAAGCAGTTGTAACTAAAGTATATTGGTGTTCTTTAATCCATAGCTGTCTGATGGTATATCATACTGGACCATGGGGTGATCAGACCAGGGAGGCAGGCTCGACAGTTTCTCCTCAGTAGTTGCATCAATGGGCCATCCCCAGACTTTGAAGAATCCAGTCAGATCCATGTTGACAGCCTGAGAGAAAGTCTCAGCGTACAGATTCATCTTTCCTGTGTTGTCAGTGGGAAAGTTGCTCATCTTGTGGTAGACAGCAATCACCTGCTTAAAGGCATCCCAACCAAACTTATCTTGTAGCTACATGGAAGAAAAACCGACACAGGACGATGTCATCCCATTTGTTTGCATGTGTAAAATACAATGATTTTGCTATGATTTTGATTATAATAGCATGCACAATTATCACTATGAGAAAAGAAACGTGAGACATTAGACTTGCTTTTTCTAATCACATTTTGCAAATATATTTAGTTTATTTTGCCAGTGTGGTGTCACACTTCAGTAACAGTACAGACGTCAGTGCAACAGAAGCTTATATATTTTGCAGAAAAAAATATTTATTTTGTTTGTCCTCACCTGCATGTACGTCTCAAGGGCGGTCCATTTATACCAGTCAGAGAAGTTCCTGCCTCCCTGTATGTAGTCTTTTATAACTCCCTCCCGAAATTCTGGAGTCACACCATTGGCCTGCATTACAAGCATTTATGATTTCTTAGAAAAAGATAAAAGTGCACAGTGTGATCCAAATTATAGGTAAACAACAAGAATTTGTTTTCCATTTGCTGCAGCACATACAGTATTTTGACACTTACCCATTTAATATCAAATTTTTCCAAGACATGAAAATATCCTAATCAGATGTCATTGGTAGCCTTAAAAAATTGTTGAATTATATATAAAAAAGTGTATTTTATAACTGGTCACAATTGTGTCCTGTGGGTTAATGTGTAGTACTCTCACTTAGATGAGCTAATTCTGTTTTTCATCGATTGATAAAATCATTTGTGAACATTGTTCTTCATTTGTGACTTGCAACAGCATTACTTTAGTGCAACATTTGTTATATTGTTCAGTTATAGTTGTGATCTTGTCCTTATAACATTTTAGTGCAACATTCACCAGGAAACATGCATAACACTTGTGTGATCCAAGTTGAACATAAAACTTCAATAAAGCTCCTCTGGGTGAATCCCAAGGTGTTCCCAGGCCAGCTGAGAAACATAGTCCCTCCAGCGTGTCCTGGGTCTTCCTCGGGGCCTCCTCCCGGTGGGACGTGCCCGGAATACCTTACCAGGGAGGCGTCCAGGAGGCATCCTAACCAGATGCCCCAGCCACCTCAACTGGCTCCTCTCGAYGTGGAGGAGCAGCGGCTCTACTCAGAGTCCCTCCCGGATGACCGAGCTTCTCACCCTATCTCTAAGGGAGAGCTCAGACACCCTGCGGAGGAAACTCATTTTAGCTGCTTGTATCCACGATCCTTTCGGTCACTACCCAAAGCTCATGACCATAGATGAGGGTAGGAACTAGGGGTGTAAATCACCAGCTTTATCACGATACAATATTACATCGATATGTTTGGATGACGATTCGATATTTTTCAATATCACAAAGTCTGTCATGATATGATTTTGATTCAATTCAATTCACGTCTGCGATCGATATAATGCGATATCATATGCCCATCTAACAAAGTCATTGTTTTCGATGGGCATATGATATTGATTCTCATCAAGCATATGATGACGATATAGATCGATATTTGCATTTTGCCTCGATATAATGGAATCATGAACCATTCAAATCTATATAACGATATAGATCGATGTATCATTACACCCCTAGAAGGAACATAGATCGACCGGTAAACCGAGAGCTTTGCCTATGACAGACCAGTACAGCGTCCGCGTCACTGCAGACGCAGCACCAGTCTGCCTGTCAATCTCCCGCTTCCATCTTCCTTCATTCGTGAACAAGACCCTGAGATACTTAAACTCCTTCACTTGGGGCAGGAACTCTTCCCAACCCAATGGAGGCACTCTACCCTTTTCCGGCTCAAGACCATTGTCTCAGATATGGAGGCACTGATCTTCATCCCGGCTGCTTTACACTCAGCTGTGAACCGCTCCAGTGAGAGCTGGAGATCTTGATCTGATGAAGCCAATAGGACCACATCATCCGCAAAAAGCAGAGATGTGATCCTAAAGTCACCAAAAAGGATCTCCTCAACACCTTGGCTGCACCTAGAAATTCTGTCCTTATAAGTTATGACAGAACCAGCGACAAAGGACAAACTTGGCAGAGTCCAACTCTCACTGGAAACGAGCCCGACTCACTAAAACAACAACAATCATACAGGGACCTAACAGCCCATATAATAATATATTATACTGATATAATTTATCAGTCTGTGTGTAATTAATGAATATAACGTTACTCAGTAACATTTATGGAGCCTTACAGACAAAACTACATGTTATGGTCACCACCGATGGGATTAAATGAGCTAATGCCAAACTGACATCAAAAATGTTACTGAATTACAGAGACTCTCAAATAACCAGAAATTTTTCATGTGCTTTAAAAAAACATATTTTGTAGACTTTTCTCTGACAAAAATGAATAAACATACCTTTGCCCTGTCGACTCCAAGAACCTCTTCATTCACATACAGGGACCACAGATTACATGTAGCCTCTGTGGTGTGAGGAGAAAACTCTGAACGACTTCTCTGCTGGTTGTGTCCCAGTTCATGAATCTCTCCCCACAAACCTGTGGTCCTGATATATTCTACATTGGACAGTCTTGGTGCTGAAGATAAGTGTACCATAACAGGATACCCTGCATGCATCCAACCTAGCAGGAGAAAACATCAGTTTTTCTTAATGTCTCCCTGAGTAAATGAGAAATGAACTAGAAATCATGTTGATGCTCATAAAAGCACACTCTTCTTCTTTATTATTAACAATCTCCAGTCCCAAAGCCTGTTTAGAAAGCAACTTCAAGAAGATTTGTTTACGTCTGCATAAAACAATTTCCAGCAGAACATTATTTTATCTTGTCTCATACATGTAGATGAAAAATGTTCTAAATATTTTTAAAAAGGTAAAACAGGAAAAAAGAAGTACTCTTACCCCTAGAAAGTTGCACATCAGCCACTATTCGTTCTTTTCTAATGAAATGGATGGAAGACAAATCTGCAATACCCTTCATGATGTCATTCCATATTTTTTCCATCTCCAGAGGAAAATCCAGATTTCGAATATTATTTGATGGCAAAGTGAGGATGATATTGTCAAACTCAAACTCTGCCCAGGGTGCAGGAGCTTCACGTATTAAAGACCAGTCTTCTGCTTTTGTCACACCTGAAGTGAAACAAGGGGGGAAGTTGTGATGAAAACAGCCTCTGGAAGTTACAATCATTTTAAATGACATGAAAAACACAGAGAGCTGAACTATACAGTACACAGCAAAGTAAAAAATAAAATCTATTATGTTATTCATTAGGAGGAACTACTTTGTGAGGCAAATGATTTTTCATAGAGCCTGTTGTAAAGCATGTTTAAATAGCGACACTCACCAGTCTTGTAATAAGGAGCAGACACAGCCACCTCCACGACAATTTCTTCTTCATTTGCTATTATGTTGGGTGGAGCCAGCAGGTAGATGAGTCCTCCCCACATGTTCCACACCTGCATCCTTTCTGATGTAACAGGGAATGTCTTAATGACAATCGGTGCTCTGTAGTACTCATCTTTGTCATAAAGATGGTCCTTCTGGCTGCCAATCTGGATCTTTAAAAGAAAGACTGTGTGTTACTGCAAGGAGACGCTCCACGTGGTTCACATTTGTGATATAATTTATATCAACCTATGCTCTAATGAAAAAACTTGTAATATTTTAGCCTCTTCATGTGTGTATGTCTGCTCTTAACAGAACCCAGTAATCAAAGGATGCAACTTCTGAAGTCAACCTACTTCAAGATGACTGCCACAGCTAACTGATCTAAAAAAAAAAAACAATTGGCTTTACCGCTCTCTGCTTTACTCGTTCTGACCAAAAATTTGGTTAAGAAGACTGACCCCCCCCCCNACCACACACACACACATTTTCTGAACACTAACTATTTGTGCAAGACAATAGTTAAAATGTTGCCTTTTGTCATGTGATGTTGTTTAATCTAATATGCTTTGTACATCTAATAAGAATACTTTAGAAAATCTTGGGCTTTTGACAAAAAAGATTCCTACTACATATTTGACAAGAAGTAAAAATTTTGTTTTTTTATCCCAGGGATGTGAGAAATTAAGTACTTTTTTCCCTCATGTCCCTTGTTTGAAAGTTCTTGCGACTTGTTCACACATTATCTGCAAAAAACTTTTTCACGGTGGTGTCTGAAGACTTTTGTATGATTGGTCAGAAACCTGAAGTTAGCTTGTGGATTTAAAGTGGAAATGTTTATGTACCAGGTGGTAAACTTATTTCATATTTTCCATTTAGGTGTAATTGTATTTCTTAAAGAGTTTCAAGTGTATTAAAATACTATTTGTTATTTTGTATGTAAAGAATGTTAGTTGTGGTATATGTTGTTCTATTTACAGGTTTGCACATTTAWTGTACTCAAAGCGATGCAAAGTTTTGTGTCGTTACAGTGTTGTGACAATTAAATCAGGTTTTTCTAAGACTTTGCCCAAATGCTTCTTGGTACTTCTGGTTTTGTGCTGGACTGGAAGTCCATGAGGGAAAATGATGGGAAAACCTTTCTTATGATGACAGGTAAATATCCACATTCAGTATTTTACCAAGATGGTGCTTTGCTGTAATGGATTGTGCAGAAGGTCAATGCAAATATCATGTTCCCTTGTGTACAGTGTGAAGCTCAGACAAGCTATTATGTTTAGTGTCAAAGTGGAATATGAGTGACTGGAAAGTACAATTTATCATTTAACATATTCACTTATTTTGCAAGTCAGAGTTACTATTTGTGCATTTTTTTTATTATGTTTTTGTGCACAGGAGAGCAACTGTTGTATTTTTATTATTGATTATTTTGCATTTTAATTTATTTTTTGTCTCTGATTAATAATACTGTAAAAATGCACAATTTAACCCAAGTTATTGTGTCCTGGAGGCAACCACTTTTCCTAAGCTACATTTACAGTACATTCTTGTTTATGTTTATTTTGGAATGTTACATACAGTAATTTTCATTCAGTAGTGAAGACGAGAATGCTTGTGGTGTTTTCACTCTCCTTTCTACTTCTCCATTGTTTATTGGTATAACAACAATAAATCTTTGAGGGAATATAAAGAAGCACAAATTACTAAGTTGTGGAAAAAGTAAACCCCAACTTTATGCGCAGAGGAGAGCGTTGGCAGCAATTCTGCAAATGTCAAATAATCTGTTTAAACAAAAGAACAGTGACGCTGATGGGAAGCTATCAGTTCTGCAAAGGGAGGGTCATTGAGGATCCCAGGGGTTCTGCCCTTGAGTTCTTCTTGACTTATTAATGTCAAACTTTGTTTATGATCTTGACAGCTCAAGTAAACAAATTTCTCAAGTCTTGCAGAGTATGAAACAAGGCTTAACTCCAATATATATTTCATTTTAATTTGCTTATTTGACAGATGTAGCCTCTTTTACAAAATAAAACCTGAATTATTATTACCTCCGCCAAGAGTGAGGTAATTTTTCGGTCACGTATGTCTGTCTGTCTGTCTGTCTGTCTGTCTGTCTGTCTGTCTGTCTGTCTGTCTGTCTGTCTGTCTGTCTGTCTGTCTGTCTNGTCTGTCTGTCTGTCTGTCTGTCTGTCTGTCTGTCTGTCTGTCTGTCTGTCTGTCTGTCTGTCTGTCTGTCTGTCTGTCTTTGGACAACATTACTCAAAAACTTGTGGACGGATTGTCATGACATTTTACCACATGTGGGTACTGGGCCAAGGAACACACCTTTAAATTTTGGTGATGTTCCAGATCATGATGCGGATACAGGATTTTTTTTCTTTTAACACTCTGAGATCGGCAAAGCTGTGATGCTTTCACAGGGCTTCTGTAAAAAACAGTGAGCTGATTGGACAGCACGGACTTCAAACTTTATAAAAGTAATGTTAAAACCAGATTTAATGATAAATAATTTTTGCCATAATATGCGCATTTACAGAACATTTTGTGACCAGGAAGTGCGTGACTGCACCATGAAAGTTATTTTTCCCATTTCCTCAAACACACCACATTTCCGAAACAACCAATCAAAACAGTTTCTCGCTACTAGGCTTGTAAACAGAGAGATGCCGGGCCTCAAAGTTTGGAGACGGGGGAAGCCAGGAAGCACTTTATAAAGAGAGTCAAACCATTACAAACTCATACAAGGGGATAAAACAGACGTTTTACATGGTCAAATATGACTGATGAAAACTTAGGAGCTTAATCTGACACCAGTTTGACATGAATAACGTCGGGTGACGAATCTGACTTTTTTTTCACACTGGACTCCAGCGAGAAGAAATCCCGTGCATACTGCCTGCTTAAATGTTTGCTATGTCAGAACTTATTTGGCAAATGTGTTTCCATCTCTGCTTTTGCGCATTAACTCTTACAGGATGGGGAAAATTGGTCTTGGCAGAAGTTTGCACTCTCCGAGTGCTTCTAGTTATGAATACATTTTGTTTGGCAGCTATGCTACATCAGATAAGATTTTTTTTCTTTTAACAGTTTCCATGTGAATATAACAACTACATTATTTAAACTATTAAAATAAAACGAGAAATCATTCAAATTACATACAATACCTTCCATTGTTCATTAACAAACTTCAGTGGTAAGGTGATCCAGGTCTCCATGCCAGGAGAGAGGTACAGACCTGTACTGACCCACTCTTCATTTTCTGTCACACAAGAAACAAAAGTGTTACAGTGTAAAAAATTAAATAAAGTTTTTTGCATTTTAGATTTATTCCAATCAATTATTTTTAAGTGTGAGATCTAACCTTCTGTCTTGACGTTAATCTTGACTGTTTGGTTGTTGACAACAGGCAGTTTGGTTACATTCTGGATGACATAGCTCAGGACAGCTTCTCTGTTTAAGGAGTATTCATACAAATCAGCTGCTAGATTTATCAATACAAGGTCCTTGGGACTCTTCAAAGGATTCTCCTTGCTCACCTTGAAATGGAGTTTATGAGAAATGTATAAAAATGTGTTATAAGAATTGATTGAGAAAAACATTTTAGTGTAGTTTTTGATTGTGATAACATTTCAACCTTATCTCGCTGTATTTCTTGTATCTTCCTCTGTCACACAAACCCTCTGGATCCTTACTACATCCATGAACTTTGTTTCTGGTCTTCTTCATTGCCTCCTACTTGGCAGCCCTATGATCTTCATTTTTTGTCCATTATGTTCACTATTAATTTTCTACACATTCAAACCATCTCAGTTTTGCCTAACTTTGTCTCCAAACTGCTTAGTTTGACCTGTCTCTCTGATATCATTATTCCTACTCCTATCCATTTTAGTCTCACCTAATCAAAACTTTAACATCTTCATGGCCACATCAAGCTCTGCCTCATCTTTGTGTTAGTGACACCATCTCCATATGTCATAAAGGTTTGACAAAAGACCGATTAAGTTTACAAAATTCACTGCACAAGAAAAATATTTCTGACTTATAAATTAGATTTAATGTTACCCACCATGGGCTTGCAAATTCTTATGATGTCGGTGACCTTGGACAGAGTCTGTGTGTAGAAGGAGCTGTCGTAAGCTTTCATGCTCAAGAAAAGGGAGAACTTTGTTCTCATTTGCTCAAAGTTCTCCTCATCTTGCTTGGTAAGTTCTGTGCCGTCAATTGCATGAGAAGCCAAACGATGCAGAAGATGACTGATGTGGAATTGGTTGGCCTGGCTTGGGTCAGGAGTTGGATAGATTCCTCTCCTAGCTATGCTCTTCAATACACTTAAGCCCATTTTGTTTAGGATTTTGTTTCCTGAAACACAGGAAATATACAAATTTGAGAAGTAACCCAAATTAAAGGTATTTACTGCAAACAACATGAAATATGCTTATCTTGAACTATATCAAATGGTGAGGTTTAAAATAGTTTACTCAAGCAGTTTTTCAGATATACTCAATGCAAACAAAGCAATTGGCAGAATCTCACAAAAAAGTGAAGTTTGAGTCACATGATTGACCTACTATGATGAGAAACTGACAAGGAAACCTCATATAAATTATCTGAGAATAAAACTAGCAATATCTATTGCATTGCTTTACAAAGTAAGGGACTTGTTCAATGATAAAGTTTTGTATATGTTATATAATGCATTAATTGTTCCACACTTGGTCTATTGTGTTGAGATATGGGGAAAAGCATGTAAGACTAATACACATCCTGTTTTTATTTTGCAAAAAGGGCTATAAGTCATCACTTGAAAAAATTATCTTTATCCCTCTAATATATTATTTTGTAAACTGAAATTAATGAAATTCTATGATTTGACTGATGATAATATTTTGTTAGTTCTGTATAAAGCACACTGAAATGCATTACTTTTAAATGTTCAGATAAATTTTACAACGAGAGAAAGTTGTAATAATCTTAAGGGAATAGAGATGTTCATGAAATCTAAATTTAGAATGTGTTTGAAAGGACGATGCACCTCACTCAAGGAGTGAGACTGTGGAATAATTTAGAAGACAGTGTTAAAAGTGCCACATCAATATGCATATTTAAGAGAATGATAAAGACTGGACTGTTAAAAAATATGAAATTGTTTAATATGAAGACATTCACTTTGTTGTTTCATGAAGTTTCAATGTTTTTTTTTGTTTTGTTAATTGAAGATCCTTATAGTTTGAATCTATATTTGAGAAAAAAGGGGCAGATATAAGATTTTTTTCTTCTCTGCCACCTTTCATTTCATTTTATTTGTATTTTCTTTTTTATTGTACATAGAATTTTGTTTTATGACATTAATAAAGTTTATAACTAACTAACTATAACTAACTATGGGCTGTGTATGTAAAAATATGGTTTTGCTAAAGCAAAAGCTCAGATGTGGGAGAAGTTCTTTAGACCTTAGGTAAAGACTCTTGATCTGTTCTGAGAAGATTATGGGCAAATCATCCAGTGGCTGTGGCAAGGGAAGCAGCACTTTACTAACACTTTATTCAGTGAAAGTCAGGTGCTATGGACCTCAACAAGTGATGTCGTCGGGAGGTGGAATAAATACATCTTGAAACTTCTCCATCCCACAGCATGTCTTCTATGGAGGAATCTGAGTCTGAGGACTTAGAGGTCGGTCTGTTCTTAATTGGGGATGATGTTGCAGAGGTACACTATCTTGCCAAAAGTATTGTCTCACTTGCCTTGATTCACATATGACATCCCATTCCTAATCCACAAGGGTTCGATATGACGTTGGTCCACCCTTTGCAGCTAGAACAGCTTGTGCTCTTCTGGGAAGGCTGTCCACAAGGCTTAGGAGTGTGTTTATGGGATTTTTTGACCATTCTTCCAGAAGTGCATTTGTGAAGTCACATACTGATGTTGGATAGAAGACCTGGCTCTCAGTCTCCACTCTAATTCATCCCAAAGGTGTTCTATCGGGTTGAGGTCAGGACTCTGTGCAGGCCAGTCAAGTCCATCCACACCAGACTCTGCCATCCATGTCTTTATGAACCTTGCTTTGTGCACTGGTTTAAAGTCACTTGGATGGGTGAGCAAATACTTTTGGCAATATAGTATAGTTACAAAGCTTTGTGGCAGCAGGGCTTCGGGGTTGATAAAATCCACCCTGATTTTCTTGGCGCTCTAGATGTTGTGATGTTGTGGTTGACACATCATTGCAACATCGCATGGACATCGGTGGCAGTGCCACTAGACTGGCAGACTGGGGTGGTAGTTTCCCTCTTCAAAAAGCAGGACCAGAAGGTGTGTTCCAATTACAGAGGCATCACTTTCCTTAGCCTCCTTAGTAAGGTCTATTCTAGGGTCTTAGAGAAGTGAGTTCAATTGATGGTCAAACCTCAGATTCAAGATGGAACACTGGACCAGCTACTGTATTTACTCTCACTAGGATCCTCAGGTGGTCATGGGAGTCTGCCAATCCAGTCTACATGTGTTTAGTGGACTTGGAGAAGGCATACCACTGTGTTCCTCAAGGTCCGCTGTGAGTCCATTGTTGTGGGCCATTCAGTCCTTAAACAAGCAGTGAAGAGTTTGGTTTCCATTGCCAGCAGTGAGTCGGACCCCTTCAAATGAGAGTTTGTTTCTACCAGGCCTGCCCATTGTCACAGATTCTGCTGTTAACTTTCATGGAAAGAATTTCTAGGCGCAGCCGAGGTGTTGAGGGGATCCGTTTTGGTGGCCTTAGGATCGCATCTCTGCTTTTTGCAGATGATGTGGTCCTGTTGGTGTCGTTGTGTTGTCATCTTCAGATTTCACTGGAGCAGTTTACAGCCGAATGTGAAACAGGTGAAATTAGGAGCACCTCCGAATCTGAGTCCATGGTCCTCAGTCGGAGAAGGATGGATAGCTCTCTCTGGTTTGGGGGTGAGGTTCTGCCTAAAGTGAAGGAGGTTCAAGTATCATCAATTTTTGTACACGAGTGAAGAAATAATGGAGCATAAGATTGATGGATAAATCTGTGAAGCTTCCAAAATTTTGCAGACTCAGTACTGGTCTGTTGTGTTGAAGAGGGAGCCGAGGTACAAGGTGAATCTCTGTTTACCTGATGGTCTAAGTTTCTACCTTCACCTATGGCCACAATCTTTGGGCAGTAAACGAAAGAATGAGATTGTGGATATAGGTGGTCGAAACAATTTTTTTCACAGGGTAGCAGGACTCTCCCTTAGAGCTAGGATGAGAAGTTCAAGAGGAGCCAGTTGAGGTTGTACGAATATCTGGTAAGGATGCCTCCTAGACGCCTAACTAAAGAGGCATTTCAGACATGTCTGACTAGGAGGAGGCTTCGAGGAAGACCCAGGACACAAGGGAGAGACTGTCTTCCGTTTGACATGAGAATACCTTGAAATCCTCCCAGAAGAGTTGTAAGAGATGGATGGGGAAAGAAAAGTCCTGGCTTCCCTGCTCAAGCTGCTGTCCGACTCCAGAATATGTAAAAGATAAGGAATGGATGACTCAGACAATCGTAGAATCGCAAAGAAGATGCTGAAGTGGAATTACAAGTGAATTTGCTGCTAAACATGAAAACATAGAAAAAAGAGAGCTGGCAAGAATAAATATCAGGGATCAAGCAGGACAACATTCAAACACACATGGTTTTTGTGAAACTGCTGCTGTACCAACAAGTTTACCGCTTCAATAAATGTAACTTTTTACCTGCATACTCAACAAATTTGAGTATAAATATGTATCAATGCGTTCACAGTATTTTCTGATTTCCAGAGGGTTTCAACATGTTTGTCACTGTTGTTAATCTAGTTTTAGATGCCTTTGCCACTTCCATAGGTAAACAAACATGTGGTACTTGACAACTGTTTGTAAATTTTGCTGACAGCATTTTTTATTTTGCGACACATTATACACTTCACTTACTTATTCACATTATATAATCCACATTTGCAATTCCTTTTGTTTCCTTTTTAACAATTTATATTTCAGAATGTTTTGTGAGTCTTTTCTCTCCTGCATACTTTAAAATTTTATTTATTTAATATTTATTTATGACTTCAAAAATATTTATGATCAGCTGTCTGACTGATTGTGTCAATCTATTTCATTAATGGTTGATTCTCAAATTCAAGTTAATGAATTGCATTATGGTACCTGGTAAGTCTTGCAATGGGTTTTGTGTCGGGTTTGTGTTTGCCCAGGACCAGGCTTGTCCAACAACCACAAGACCTCCTCCTTCTGCCACAAAGTTTTGGATTTTCTCAGGATCTTCTTCATTCCATATTGTGCACACATAAACACTCAGGTCTTGCTTGAATGTTGTCTTCTCACTCCTAAACTCAAAGTCAGGTAACATTTTGGTACATTCGCCAAATCCTATGACTCCCTTTCTGCCCTGGTCCAACCACTGAAATGCATTTTTCCAAAATGGCTCCAGTTGCTACAAATATAGAGACCCATTAATTATTTAAGAAAGTTATAGCAGGAAAACACAACAAATGGCTTTAGGTTCAGTGTACCTCATATTCTAGGAAAGATTCATGTGTCGTCAGTATGACCCGTCCTCTTCCATAGTAGGTTCCTGCCAAGAACACTTGTCCATCATATGTGGCACCAATTGGAAAAGCAAGCGGGCCGTGGATCAGAGCCTCAGAGGGGATGGAACTTCCCTGAGTGTCAAACTCTGAAATCCTTTTCAGCAAAAACTCCAGATCTTTTTTGATACTCATCTTGTTGCTGTGAATGTTAACACCCAGAGTCAGGATTGCTAAAAAAAAAAGTACTCAAACAATTTTTTTTTATATTTCTCATAATGCACACTTACTGTAAGGATTTCCAAGAGTTTGGGATTTCAGGGCTGATGGGCAGGTTTTCTCCTTTTGCATATTGTGCAGAAAAGTAGATCCCTGCCACCCCTGACACTTTATTCCCTGGAAACTGAAGGATTAGGTTTTCGTTGGGGTTTTGTGCAGTCCAGTTCCATGCTTGTCCCCCTATCAGGATCCCTCCTCCTGCTTTCATGAAGGCTACCAGATCTCCTGCACTTGCTCCAACTTCATAGGCATCTGATACAAACACATTAACTCCTAGATTTTCACTGAAACCCTCAACAAGACTGACTTGGAAGTTGGATTTATTGAGGTTATCAGAGACTGCTTTTAGTTTTTCGTGCACCCCCACAGACAAGTTTTCAGATTTCCCTCCTCCCAGCCAGATCAGAGCATTTTCTACCAGAGCAGGACACAGAGTCAGGTACTGCTCATGGCCCAGAACCACAATTCGTCCTTGGCCGTACAGAGAAGCAGCCATGAGGACATGACCCTCACTGTTCATCAATACAGGAAAGGCATTTTCTCCTGTCAGCTCCAGGTCACAGGGGACACTGGAGCTTTGCAGGTCCAGGTCCGTTAGGTTTTTCACAAGAGACTTGTAAGACAGGGTCTGCTGGTCGGACATCATGAGAAGTGGTAGGGTAAATAAACAACATAGTTGGTAACAAAGCATTGATGCTGTAGGGTCAGAATATCCTTTTCTGTAGGGAATAAAAAAGACTTAAAATTTAAATATCTATGTTTCATATATCAATAACAGAATTGTAACAAGTTTACCTTTATCTGAATACAACTTTGAATCTTCCACAGAGGATTAGAGTGGATGATGCAAGATATCCAAGATGAGGTGAAAAGATTATTTTCCTACAATTTAAAGGAAAAAAATAAAAAGAGAATAGAGGGAGGGACCAATGTCATCAGCCAATGAACAGTAAGGAAAGAGAGTCTCCCCTTTCTTCACAGCAGAGGTGTACAGTGTGTTTGTTCCTCAAACATTTATTCTATTACTGAGTTGGGGCAACACCACCATTTAAAGTGTTCCATGGGGTGACCCAGCAGTAGGAGCAAGTTAAACTTTCACCTTTACACTTCACAGAAACTATGCCAATATTGATTGTCCACATGATGCAACGATCAACCAGTTTACTTTCAACACTTTTCAACAGAATAGATCCAAACGTGATTGAAATTTGTTGGTGAAAATGAAATCCAATCAAACACATAAGCATTTCAGAGACAAACATTTCTTAGAGCCATATCAAAGTTTTTAATATGGATCAAAACAACTAAGTAAAACTTTTTAAATTATAATTTCTTTCTGATCTAAGCTGTTCTAAAATCTCAAGCAAACCTTGCATTTTAGTTTAACTTTTTTTTTAAATCCTTTGGTCTCTGAGTCAAACCTATCCTTTATCCTTCCCTCCAGGCTTAGAATGTCTGTCAGGAATATCTCCAAAATGTTGTTTCTGAACATGTAACAATGACTTCATAGCAGAGGAGCAAGTGTGTTCATCTCACAGCAAGTAGCTGAGTTTTAAAATGTGAATTTTTCATGTTCTCATACGTGTGCAGAAAAAAAAAACACACTGCAGACCAATAACGTGCAATTGGGGATTTCAAATTGCCCTTGTGTGTGTGTTTAGGTGTCTGTGAGTGTGTGTTCATGTGTGTAAGTGTCTGTTTGCACTATCTCTGCGCTATCTAAACAGCTTATAAATAGCTCAAATTTCTTGTACATTGGGTAAGCAAACACTCTCACCTGTAGCATTTGATTTTTTGTTTTTCTTTTGAGCTTATCAGTCAGACAACTCACAAGTGAATGATTATTGTCTTCATTATAAAATATACCAGTAGCATTTGGTGTCTCTGAAAAAAAAAAACAGATCGATGCTATAGTGGTGGAGGGGATGAAAGGGCGCAAGCAGCAGCAGACTGGGGTAGCAGCAGCCTTATATTGAGACACGTAATATTCCAGCTTAAATAGGTTGCTCACACTGGGAGAATTAGCTTAACCCTCCTATTATGTTAGTTTCTGAGGAACAGCAATAATGTTCCTGGGTCAGTTTGACCTGGGGAATGTTTAATCATGCTATAGTGTCAGAAACCAAAAAATCCCACAAAACATGTTTATATCTGATTATTAACTCCATTACTAACAATTTCAATCAATATTTGTGAATTGATGTTTTTTTATTTCTCACAGATAAATGAGGACAATTCACTCATTTTTCATAAAAACTGCATGTTACATGTTTTAATGTCCAATACAAACATGCACACACACACACACACACACACACACACACACACACACACACACACACACACACACACACACACACACACACACACACACACACACACACACACACACACACACACACACACACACACACACACACACACAAATAAAAAAACAATGATTATTCATTAAATTGTTTTTTTTTTTATTTATTTATTTATTGAAGAGTGATGTTTTTAATTGAACTTGAGATACCTGTTCTGTTCTGGGTCAAATAGGCCCACTAATTAAAAACCGAGACAAATGAGTCATGAAGATTTGTATTGAAAATAAACTTTATTACCTAAATGAGCAGCAACTTCTGAATACCACAAACCTTCATCCACTGTGACATTAGGGCCTAAAGCAGTGGAAGTTGCTCAACCCACTTGTGCCACATTGTCCCAATTTCTGCCAGTTTATCTGTTTCCTGTCTGACTGCTCTTGTCTCTCATTTATCAAACTGGATTACTCAGGAGAAAATATAAAGTCTCCAGAGACATTGTGGCATGAAATATTGTCCTGTCTGTCTCTGCATCTCATAGATTATTTGTTGATTCATCCTGTGACTTGTAGACCCCAGCCAGAATGGGGACCTCCAAATATGCTAAATGCATTTTATCCACCTTTTTCCAATTCTCACTAGAAACACACCTTTGTTATAGTTTAGTCACTTCAAGAATGATTTTATGTATGGGACTGGGCATGAGTAGCTCAAAGACTGGCTTCATGTCTGTGACATGAATTACTGCCGTCCTGGTAGGCCCTGGCACTGTATTTACTTTTTCTCCCCTGTTGTTTACTTGGAGATGAAGACCACTGTATTTCACCATTTTTTGACATGAATGGTTCAGACGCATCATCTTCTGTTTCACTGTCATGGTTGAAGAGAAGTTCCAGCCTTTCCAGGGTTAGCAACATTTCATTTCTGCTGCTCATTTTTTAAGTTCTGACAGTAACTACATCACATGTATTTGCAGTGTGTAATGTTTTTAGTACTCCCTTGCAGAGAATATTCATGCCCCCACCCCTCCCCTGTGGAGAGTCCACTCAATGTGGGTGGAGTTTACCCACGAGAACAAAAAAGGTTCTCATCAAAAGTTGTAAAAACACCTGCGTTCTCGCAGTCTCCTAGCGAAGTAAAGAGAATAGGAAGAAAGTGTGCATGTGTGTGTGTGGGTGCCCTTGTTTTTGCTACTTGGTGAGGATGATTTTTCAGGAAAATGCAGCCTCGTGGGGACTGGATGCTCTTTGTAGGGACCAAAGCCTGGTCCCCATGACTTCGGAGGTTGATTTTGGGTAGGGGGGTTAGGTTTAGGAGCAAGGTGTGAATTGAGTTTAGGGTGGTTTTAGGGTCAGGTAGGTACCTGTTAGGTTAATTTTAGGGTAAATGGTCAGGGTTAGGATATAAAATTTCCAAAAAAAATGAATGGAAGTCAATGGAAAGTTCCCAAAAGGATAGAGAGACGTAGGTGTGTGTGTGTGTGTGTGTGTGTGTGTGTGTGTGTGTGTGTGTGTGTGTGTG